TTAGCGGAAGGATTTATGTTGCTTGTAGATGAAGGAAACTTTCTTAGTGCTTTTAGTGAGTTGCAAAAGAGTTATCGACAATTTGGGAGTTTGGTGTGACGAAGTAAACCTCTAATTATAGCCTCAGAATTGAAGACTAATTTCCATCAGTGGGCAATAGAAAGGTATTTTGAAGTAGGAAGAAGAGAAAATAATATTAGGAAATTAATAAAAGTAGTAAAATTACTTTGAAAAAATTATAATAATTGTAAGAAATGTTTCGGTCCATTAAGTCGTATACATTTCTTACCGTTACCACAATTGGACCTTGTCAGTACGACGACTGTGGTAATCGTAATTGGTGTAAATTAAACACTGGAGCAGTATGTTTCGTCCATTTTTTTAAAGATAAGTTGGTGCTTCACCGTATTGACGAGATCCAGTCGTGGTGCTGAGTAGGAATGTATACGGTTTAATGGACCGAAAAATTCCTTTTCAGTTACTTTCTCTACTTTCCTGTTTTGCTTGTCTGCATAATTTCATAGTTTCTCATATAATTCTGCTAGCATTCCTAAAATCATTCTTTATGCTAGCCAGAAAAAATTGCCAAGCTTGTTTCTAACCGGCGCTTGGAAGAGGGCTCCGTCGAGAAGTTTGCCAGCGGCCAGTTGTTTTTTAGCGATTTCCCCTACAGAAGCATCTGGCAAGGTTTTAGTTATTTTGGGATGATGTATGCTGAGAATCATTATCTCCTAGGACACTGTGAGATTACCGATTTGAAAATACCTTATCAACAGGAATTTGCTGATTTTGTCTAGCTTCTGCGTTGAATATGAACTCAATTCACATTTTTTTTTTAAAGTTTGGTGTTTTTTGTCTATATTTATGTTTTTTTTTTTTTGTTTGGCTGACTTTTACCGCCTCTAGCTGGATTGCTTTTGTCCTTTTTTTTTCGCTATTTTTTCCCCACTCACGATTTTCTGGGCACTTTTTTTAAGAAAAAAAAATACCACTTATGCTTGGAGAAAAGATTTTTCCACAAATAAGGGTTTGATACGGACCCTGTTTTGAAAATTGAATTGAATCGAATAATAGCGTTGTTTCAGGGTTCCAACATTTGTGAAGGAGAAGCGTTTTGCTAATTGGCTAAAGGATGCCCGTGATTGGGCAGTCTCGAGAAATCGATTCTGGGGAACGCCAATCAATCTTTGGGTTAGCGATGATTTGGAAGAGATTGTTGCACCCGCTTCAATTGCTGAACTGGAAAAACTATCCGGACAAAAAATCACGGATTTGCACCGAGAAAAGTAAGCGCAGTAGGCCATTTCGGTTCAGCTTAATCTCAGATTTATTACAAAAGGAATAGTCCGCTTCGCAGAACAACTATTAGCTAATCAAAAAGTCAAAAACCTCTCCTTATTTGCTTTTATTCAACAGCAATGGCACTGAATTAACTCGAGTGATAACAAAATGCCAATGGGAACCATTCGCTGGCAAGGCTGGTCAATGGCTTCCTCTTTCAAGAGAGTTGCTTACAAGCAAGTTGATGGCGAGTTTGACTCCTTGGAATATGTCAGTAGCAATTTGCTATCGAAACCAATGAACGTGTTGTAGAAGATTGATTATCCCACCGGCGAAGTGAAATCTCCGGCCTACCATGCGACAAAATTTTTACTTTTAAAAGTTGAAGAGAAAATATGAAGGGAGGAAAACGAAGAAAAAGCGAAGTAAGATGGGAAGTAAAAAAGCGAATCAAAATCTCGTTCATAATTTTTTCTCAGCCAAATAAGCGAATCAGTATCTAATATTAGATAAAATTTTCTAGTGTTGACCATATAACGATTCCATCAGTAACCGGTCGAGGCGAGTTACATCGTGTGAGCGAAGTGTTCGATTGTTGGTTCGAATCGGGTTCAATGCCCTATGCACAAAATCATTATCCGTTTGAGAACCAGAAAATTTTCGAGGAGAATTTCCCAGCCGATTTCATTGCTGAAGGTTTGAGTTCTTTTT